TTCTTCCCCATACTGATGCTCGGTTTGAACTGCAGGAGATTGTCTTGACCATGTCTACATGCCTAAATGCACTGAGTTGCCGCCATGTCATTGGCTGCTTAGAAATTAAGTGTTAACGAGCAGTTGGACAGGTGTACCTAATAAAGTGGCCGGTGAGTGTATATATCTGTGTAAATCCCAAATTAATGTGGCATTTGCGCCAGTGACGATGTATGCAAACATTTGAAAGGCACGGCATATGTTGAAAGTTAGAGCCAATGCAGCAAATCGCTCCTATCACCACCTTACTTCATCTGGTAAAGGTTGTTGGTTCCTCTGTGGTCGATATCGTGACAGAAGCCGGCAGTCACCATTGCCATGCACTCCAGGTCTGTGTAGTAACGCTTGAGATCACCTGTCTGAGAGGATAAACAACAAAACAGTCAGACAGAAATACAGATGTGGGAGTGAAACAGGGTGAGCAAGACAAAGAGTCACAATAAGATACAAACTGAGTGAAATTAAGTGCATTTGGCCTTAATTTGAGCAGGTAAATAAGAAAATTTGACAATTGAAAGAGTATTTTCACCCTTTTTTTTTTAAATCAAAATGGTGACTCTAAAGAAAGAGATCAGTTGAGACAATGCTTCCCATTTACGTACATAGTCCATTACCTCTATCATTTGCTCTCAGGCTTTTACACGCATTTAAACACTACCCAGTTATGTTCTCATTTACAGAACATTTCATGGGAAAAGATGGAGGGATGCAGAGTGAAAGAGAACACGGAAGAACAGAAGAAAAATCTGTATCACCTTCAATCAAAGTAAAAATGAAGGCAGGGGAAATAAAAGAGTGGGTGTAAAGCCTGAGAGGAGGAAGGGGAGCAGGAGGTGAGGAACTGATGAGCACTCAGGGAGTGAAGGGAGATTGAAGGAGGTGGAGGAGTGAGTCAGATTAGCCGTATATAACCATCAGCAGAGTGAACATGGTCTGTCCAACGTTGAATCCATGTCTCCAGTTGTGGTAGGTGATCTTCCTGTAGCCTTTACTGAGTGAGTACATAAATCTGACCAAGACCTGCAGGAGAAAAACGAGAAATTAAGTATGGTGAGCCTCATATTTTAGCCCTAAAATGCAGGCGTTTAATACAAATATTAGTAGGTTTTCTATGTTTTATATTAACTCCATAAAACTTGCCAAGCAACTAAAACTATTGTATAATCTTTATAGTTTTTCGATAAGCAGGGTAATCTGATATTACTGCATACTGGTAAATTGTAAAAGATTCATGCAAAACTTGTAATAAATCTTAAAATTTCCTTTGATGGCTGCAGAATCAGAGCAGCCCATTCAGATCTTGATGCTCTCAGTTAATAAAAAAAAAACGACATTAAATCTAACGGTGGAAATGCTGTGAGTTAGGATTTTAATGGATTGCATCACTTTTGTTCAGAATAGGAAACCTTTCACTTATTTTTGCTTTGATATCCTAAACAATTCATTTGAATCTAATAAAATCTTTAGCGACAATAAAAAAAAAAAAAAACATTAAACTTTGCATACATTTTTCACTGAGGCATAAATGTCGTAAATCTATAAAATGGGGTTTGATCAAATCAAAAGAATAATAAAAAAAACTCACAGCTGAGCTAAAACACCTTACTCCTAAAGTAGGAAGGCAGTTAGTGTTTTTATTTAGTAGTCAACTTGTTTGAATCCATTTGACTGTATGATCTGGTGAACTGGAAAGTGCCTTGAGATGACATGTGTTATATGCGCTATATAAATAAACTGAATTGAATTGAATTTTGTTTGTGCTTTACACTTTAGTCACAACCTTGCTTAAAACTTTGACTTTTTGGCTTAATATGAAAACCAGCTGTGCTCAACCGGGGAACATGCTTCACGTGTAAAACACAATTACATAAAATCATCTGTAAATATATATTGATATCAGAATATTTGTCTCTGGAGACAGTTTGGAGTTAATTTTTTATTTCTAAATATATATATATATATGTATATATATATATATATATATATATATATCTTTTGGTGCATGATAAGAGCAACAATTTGTGTATTTCACTGTGTGAACAAATAAATCTAAAAACACATTCTTTATTGCATCAGCCATGGCCCAAAGCTAAAACCATTATTTAACACATGCTGTCATTTATAATTAGTGATTAGTTATCTTATGATATTATATTATTATAATATAATATCATTATTATAATATTATAGTTTTAAAATAAAGTCAATCAAATAAAGCACAATAAGAATTCAGCTTTACTAATACCATAACAGGTAAATGAAAATAAATCCTTTAAAGATACTCTGTGTCCTCTATGCCATCACTTTTTATATATGTAGAGATCCCATTTTTTTTTTCTTTGCCATCAGGTCTAAGGCTACCCAGCTGGACAAAAAAACTAGCATTGTGTGCCAGATGTAGGACTCGTCTTTTTCGTCTCAATCAAAGTCTGAGTGGATTCTCGTGTAAAGACAGGTAACTACTCATTTCAAGTCCTTTCTAGTCTTTATTTTGAACAAAGAATTGTGTTAAATGTAAATAGCTGAGCATCTCTTCTTATTTATCAACATGTGATGAAACCAGTGCAAATGAACATTTGTAAACAAGATGGAGGTAGGTCAGCCCAGCTTTCTCGTCATAGCAAATGAAAAGTACCACCTACAGTACAGCAGCTTAAAATATTCATCTTCTTTCATGTCTTCCATATTGCATTTCAGTTTTTGTTGAGTAATTTGGAGTTCATGTACTTGAAAGAAAGGAGCCTATTTGAGTGATTAAAAACAATCTGGTTAATTTGATTGGTTGTGCTGCAGCTCACACACCCACACACACATGCATGTTTGTTCTGCTATATGTAGTGAGGACCATGTGTTGACTCCCAATAACTTTGTTGATTTTAAGTCATATTCAACCCTTTCTATACCCTAACTCTAAAATTAACCATAAACCTAACCATTATCGATACATACCTCACCTTAACCCTAATCTAAACCGGAACCTTAGCCCTAAACCTTACCATTAGCAAAGTAGCTTGTGAGGACCAGCAAAATGTCTTCACTTTCCAACAATTGGTCCTCAATGTGATGAGGAAATTGGAAAAATGGTCCTCTCTCTGAGGCCTACACAGTTACACAAAGCCGCACACACTCAAACACACACAGATGTGTTTTCATAACATATGGAGACATTTCATTGACTTGCATTTATTTTATATGGCCTAACCCAGATCCTTACCCTAACTGTAACTATTACCAACATATATCTAACACTAAACCCAACACACGGGAGAGAACTTTACCAAATGGGGACTAGTTAAATGTCCCCATATGTACCTGTAAGTCCTCACAATAATTGGAAATTAATTAACTGTGAAGGCAAATAAGAGACATTATAAACTTTAGAGTTTGGGTAAAATATCGCTTTTTTTTTTTTTTAGGTAAATCAGGTCAAGTCCAATTTGGGTCACTGGTGTAAAAGTCCAAGGCAGACATTTTTTCTCAGGTCAACTCTGAAGCCATGAAGGCTGAGTATGCTGCAGTGTTCACTAACCTATCTGCTCCTAATGTTCCCTCTTTAATTTATTTTTCCTGGGTCTTAATCCTAAACTCCATCAAGACTTGTAAGTATAAAGTGAAGAAAGCTCTGACCTCTCTGGGAATGTGAAACTTGTCTACCACTTTCAGCTCGTAGTACATCTTGATGCCACATTTCACCAGATCCAATTCTGTATGCTCAAAGTCGCAGAAGTGGAACTCGTAGATCTCAGATTTCTTGGCGTTTGGCAGAACCTCTGACTGTGTGGTGAAAATCACATAAATATCAACATTCAACATTCCAATTTCACAAAAGCACAGCAGTAGCAACATCATCAAAAATCTTTAACTGATCCACATGTTATATATCAAAGATGTAAACCTTAATTAACCTGGTATTTGATTATTTATTTACCAAAGGTGTAACTGCACCATTTATGCTTCATTGCACTGCAACAGATCATACCTCTATGTACATAAAATCACTCGACTGTATGTAAGCAGAGGTGTCAAAAGTATGAATGTTTATTACTCAAGTAGAAGTACCAATCCAATTCAAAACCCTCTTGTAGAAGTTAGAGTATCAACTTACTTACTTTACTGGAGTAAAGCAT